ATTTCTTTTTTTAATTTTTATTTTAAGGTTTGTTCTCTTCATCTTCCGTATTTTGATTTTGAGTATGATTTATTTTTTCTTTTAATTTATTTTTTTGTTCAGCTCTAATTTGTTCATATATTTACTTAGAAAAATTGTAGGCAAGGAACTTCTCCTGCTTTGAAATCTTGAAGAACTGAGGCTAATTTTCTCAATGGAGATCCAAACCGACGAGCGGTCCTCTCTAAAGTTGTTAATGCCTGTGAACAGATTTAGCAATTCTACAGTGATGTAGTTCTCAACTGATGGCAACATGTGAGGTGCAAGTTTACCGGTATAGACATCCATCTTTGCTTATTCTTGCACAACCTTTCTGGAGTTAGTTCTAATAGGATCTTTTATTTGATTACGATTTTGAAATCTGTACCTAAGGCTGAAGTTTGGAAGTATGTGTTCATCATAATAGAATACTATTTAAATATGAATTGGTGTCTTCTGTTATAGATCTTGTCTATTGGGAAGTATACTTTTTGTTTTGAAGTTGTTAGAGACAATTGCAGTAGAAATTCATCAATTCCTTGAATTTAAATGAATGGACAATGAACCCAACAATTACATGTAGGTGCGATTAATGTGTGCTTGAAATATTTGTAATGTCACAGGTTCAATTAATGTGTGCTTGAAATATCTTCCATGCCAAATATTTGGTCTGCTGTGCAAATTGAACCCTTATTTCTTCGGTGGCTTTTTCTTATGTATACCTAAACCAGAAAGTTTGTTTGGGTTTGTCTTACTTTGCAATCATATGTGCCCTTAATAGATTTACGATTTTGATCATGTTGAACATTATATCAAAAATTTAAGCGTAGAAGTTATTTCATTTCAGGTTTGAGATTCTAGTGTTTTTGCATTTTCTACTCTGCTTCTTACTGTTTATGATCTACCAGACACCACACAACTTTTGGAATTGCAGCATTTTAACAACATGCTTTATTCTTCTTTAATTTTGATTCATATTCTTTAATAGCCCTTTTTTCCTCATCAATCGAATGCCTATATCTTGTGGTTAATCTGCAGCAAATATTCCTCCTGAGTGGGTGCTTAAATTCTTCAAAAACATGGGCATACTTGTGAAGAAAGACACCCAGTTCCACATCAAGTCCAATAATGTTTCTCCAACGGGACATCAGTTGAACTTGTATGGAGACAGAGAGGCCTCGTTTTCGATGGGAAATGAGCTGTTGGATTTTAAGAATGGTTTTGAGTTTGTTGAGGTGGGTCATAAGCTTGTCAAGTTTGAGATCTCGTTCTTGTTTCTAAGCGAACCTGAGCCAAAACACCAGGTTTTTTCCGATCCGTCTCCTCTGGGAAAATGCGTTGAATGGGCTGAATGAGATTTTCAAGTCCCTTAAGCTTTTAAAAGGAATCATCTTTTATTGTCCGTATACTTCAAAAAGATCACAAGCTATTCATACCAAAATTTTTAGACGTTTAGCCATCAAAGCTTCCTCCTTTCCATATAGCAATGTGCCTCAAGCAATGAAAGCTACGTTAATAAATCGAAAACCATACTTCTATATATGTATGCCCATATCTATATAATGAAAAAGATACAAGGGTAAAGGATTCTCCAGCATTTTTAATAATGGTAATAGCAAAAAAATCAATCGTGCTAAGAGGAAGGGCATGATGGTACCTACTTAGATGGGCGAATAGAAAAACCTCAACTGGACAATGATGATTCGGCAAGACGAATACAATGGGGTTCAAGTGGCGTTGTAGCGACAACCTTAACGCGGATGTCCTGGGCTTCACTCTGTTTTGCCGAGGACATTAGAAATCCGGGTAGTAATTCGATCAGTAGTCACTAGAACAACCCCAAATTCCATGAAAACTTCTAATGAGCATTTCATCAAACATAATCTGCGCACTTCAAGCCTTCAAAAAATAACTATAATCAAATTTGGAATGTACCTGCAGCACGTCTGATATTTAGGGTTTGCGACCTGGAGAAAATCTGATTCTAATTCTTCAACTGCCAAAGAAAATCTGATGGCAAGGTCTCACCGGCTGTGACGGAGCCGCTGGGGTTGGAGTGGGACAGATTCCTTTGGTCAATTATTCACACCATGCGCATGTTTGGTTACTTGTGTCCTGGAAGTAGTATGCAGGAAGCTCACAATTTTTCTAGCTAGCGTAGCCTCGGAAATTGGAAATAAACTTTCAGGCACACAAATTACAGGTAGGAAGTTATTTGTTATAAAAAAAGTGAATATTTTGAAACATAAAAGAAAAAGTGAATATTTGGACAATAATCTATTAGTAACAGATGAGATAATACATATTCATGTCTTGAATCAAGAATTGAGCAAATTTCATCTGTTACTCGTGGAATAGTGTGATCCATTCATTAGACCACATGAGAGAGTTCAATTTATTAAGATAAATTAAAATACAAGAATATAAAATTGTTTAGTATAAGAGTTTAAATTTAATAGTTAATAATTTTATTTAATTTAATGAATATAAGTGTTTAAATTATTAATAAAACAATTATCAAACGATAATTGTGAGAAAATATGGTCTCATAGAAAATTTTGGAAGATTTCCTTTCTAGATCTATAAGCAATTACTTTTTATTTTAGTTGGTAATATTGTTTTTAAAACATTTATAATAGATTACAAAACAAATATAGTTTTGTCTCTCCTATTCTAATTATGTACTAATTATATATTTTTCGTTAATTTATATAAAAAAACACAAAAACTAACTTTTTTTGCAACCTAATGATATGTGCATTATTTTTGTTAAGTGATTAATAAAATTAAAATCAAATTTTATTTTTTTCAATAATAAATATTGAAAAAATATATAAATAATATATTCCTAACTTATATTTTTAAAACATATTAAAAAACCTAATAAAAATAAATAATTAATTTTTTAAATTAATTTTTGTGCTTAAAAATTAAAATTTCAAGATTCAAACCAAATAGTTTTCTCGAAAATTACTTCAAGGACATAGTTAACCAAACATGCCTAGACAACAGGGCCGT